AGATGTGTATAAGAGGCCCATTCCGTGTGAGGCGATAGCTGGTGATAAGGATTCACCTTGTTGCCAGCTTGTAACAATTGATGCTTACGAAAAATATTTTTAGAGCACTTTCAATCTGATGGCCATCCGTCTTTTATGAACACTTTACCGGGTCATAGTACAGTAGGTCCTGTCGCTTATGAACACTTAGTAATCATTAAGTACATTATGGTGACAATAACTTATCGCATGTGACGTAGTACCGTATTTATTTTTACTATAATTATACTATCTTATCAAAAGTCGAACGAGCTAACCATTGTTTAACCACTTGTTCCTCCATCTCTTATTTCTGAACACGCCACATAAAGCACAAACCAACACTAAGCAGTAGATCGCACATCAACGAAGGCTATGTAGTTCCTAAAATCTTCGTAAGTTTTATTCTTACTTTGCTATAATTATAGTTAATGATTCACTATTTCATTTGTAAGATTTTGGAAATGCATTTCAAATAGGTTGTAGGCCCTACATTTAGAAAAAAACAAAACATTTATATTCTCTGTTCAGGACACGGGCCCCGACCTAAACGTTACTGTATCGGTTCGTATACGTGAACAGCAGTGGGATAGCTGGCGTCAAATAAGTGGAAGAGGGCAGTGGGGGCTCCAGTGAGGTGGGGGTGCAGTGTGATAGGGCTCCCAATGGGGAGAGGTCATCAATCCTCCGGGCTCAACACAATTCTTCGACAGACTGAATTTATTAGGATAGGAGACACTTATTCCATAAATAAACTTCAAATCTCTAAAATGTCGAAGTTTCCAGGAGCCTCGCCCTTGACCAGTGACCTCCTCCAATGGCTTCTCATTGTTGTCATCGTACTCCCGTCTGACAACTCCTGGCGCCACTATTGGGGTGGGAGAGAGGGAAGATTTGGGTGCGTGGTCTAAATTCGGAGTGGGATCAAATGGCTTGAATTGGTTAGTCTGTTCATACAAGATTCATATTTTCGATCGACAGTAAGTTGTATATTTTATTCTAATTTTTGGTAATGATAAATGTATTAATTTATGCTTTGTTTCCTTGTATAGATCGAACATTTCTCTATTGTAAAATAAAAACATAAAAAAAAAATCATAAATTATATGTTAATATAGCTTAATGAATCTATACTACACCTTATTCACAGGATCCCACTCATCTAGACGTCACAACTGTATACGAAAGTAACGAAGCAGTCTGGTGACCATGAAGTATTTACATAGGGAACAGTGAGTACGCTTCTCTATTATGATAATTTGATAAATTAAGATAAACAATTAATGAGAGAATAATTTCAAAAGGATGACAATTTACGTTGAATAATGGCTGTGATAGAGATGGTGCTGATGTTGATGATAATGATGACGACGATAATGATGTTGATAATGATAATTAACATTCATGAGAAACCTGGTTCATTTTAACTTAATTTTAAGGTATAACATGTGGAAGCAAACAAACAATTTATTGATAAACATTGCTTGATTGTTATGTCACAGAAACATAATAGTACAGGCTATCAGACAAGAGGACTGGCCATCCGTAAGAAACATCATGGAAAATGAACCGCACCTTAATGAAACTGTGGATGAGGTAAGTACTCAGTTGCTACTAAATTTATGATCCACTCCAGATGTGATTTTTAGTAAATTATTAATAAAATATTATATACTATTACCTCGGGCTAACGAATTTCACCAATATATTCCCATAATATATTTTGCTTTTTGTGTACTTTTTATTAAAAAAAACAAAACAAAACAAAACAAAAAAAAAAGAAACATCTAACTGTAACTAAGAATGAAGTAACTAGTCAGTTGCTACGAAATTTAGGAGCCAAATTCTTAAAAAAATATTGGAAAATTATTTTATTCTTTATAATCTTCAACTCGCCCTAACGAAGTTCACAAATATTTTCCCACAATATGTTTAGTAAACCACATTGTCATTCTTGATAAGTACAAACCGTGTAACCAATATTCATTTTATTTCTGTTAACAATAAATAAATAACTACGTAAAAAATAATGATTAAATAAATAAGCAACATATAAATAAGGTAATAAATAAATAAATAAATAAAGGATGCAAGTGGCTTAGCGCAGGTGGTTGAGGGCAGTTTTAAAAGAATATAGGCCTATTTAAAGTGTCATCTAATAGTGTACAGGTTAATTTCAAATAGCTCTGATTAACAATAAACTAAAGTATGTGTGACAGTCAGTTATTTAAACACAATCTGTGTTAAAATATATAAGCTCGTTTTAAGTATTTTTCCTAATCTAATATAGGTCAATTTCAATTCAACAAATCAATTAATGGAAATTATTATAATTTAACTCGCCCTTACGAAGCTAGCAAATATTTTCCTACAATAGCAGGGGCGCCGCAAGCTACAGCCATAATATCGACGCTGGTTCGAACGGTACGCTCGCCTGTGGTTCTGGTGTTCTCGGATAAGGACTAAACCGTATGGCCCAGTGTATACAATGGCTCGTGTGCACTATAAAGAACCCAGTACATCCTCCGAGACGAGTAGGGGAAACCCCGGTGTACTGGAACGGACAGCCCCTGTGGTGGACGACGAGAATTGCTGGTACCGGGTTACTGGGTAGCACAAACACGAAGGGACTCTAAAAGTCATTGATCGAGTTCTTAGTCCTATCAAGCACCCTGAGCATCTTAAATTGGATGGATGTGTGCGCTATATTAAACTACAATATTATTATTATTATTATTATTATTATTATTATTATTATTATTATTATTACTATTAATACGTTTAGAGCCTTTAAAAAATAAAACAAAATCTCGTTTAAAATATACCATGCTGAATTAGACTACATTGTTAATTTTTGCTACGTACAAACCGTGTGACTAATTTTCATTTTATTTTTATTATGCTTGCAACTTCATTCGTTAGTCGATAAAATTTGTCGAAGATTCCCCTGATAAGTTAAAAACCGAGTCTAGCGCCCTCTGTAGTTAAAAAATATATTTACCAAAGATCTTATAAACACAAGATAGCGTGTTTATAAGATCTTTGGTATTTTACCCATAGAGCTATTTTTATTTTAATGTCGATGGCATTATCATATCATATTATTCATTTCGTAAGTAATTCTAACTATGCATTCATGAAAAAAAGATGCAAGATAAACACGTACATAACTTTTAATACGACTAATATCAATGGGTAATACACTGCTTTTTGTTAAATTATAAATAAAATATAATAATTATTTGCAAAGAATTGCTATAAGCAAACTTAGGCCCTACGTATATCAATCTTATTACAGGGGTTTGAACTTATATATACTTTTTTAATGCATAATATGTTAATTATATAATTTGTTTAATGATATATCGTGTTGGTTGAATTAAATTGATCTCACTCTTCATTTCAAATATGCAAACGTAAATAATTACCAATCAATTGTGGTAATATCTCGTGTTTCTCACAACACGATAAACTTCGTCTCAAGTATTCCTCTTAATTTAATATAGGTTTATTTCAAATAGCTGAATAATAAAATAAACCGAAGTATGTGTGACAGTTATTTAAACATAACCTGTGTTAAAATATATAAGCTTGCTTTAAGTATTCCTCTTAATCTAATATAGGTTAATTTCAATGTATTACTATATTATTTGCACTTTTACAATATCGATGACATTCAATATCATAATGCTATTCACTTCGCCTTAATATAAAAACAGTATACAAAGTAATTCAATGGGGCACTACCGTATGCGTCCATAAAATGAAATACAGGATAAAAACCTACATAATTTTTAACTAATGTCAGTGGGTAATACACATGCTTATCGTTAAATTGTAAATAATAATAATAATAATAATAATAATAATAATAATAATAATAATAATTGGCGACGAATGATTATAAGTAAACTTTGGCCCTACGTAAATCAATCTTTATTAGAGGGGTTTGAATTTTTATATATTTATTTAATGTATAATTTGTTAATTTGATAAGTTTTTTTTAATGATATATCGTATTGAATGCTTTAGGTTGGTCTCACTCTTCATTTCAAATGTCCCAACTGAGATGATTATCAGTCAATTTTACTGGTAATGATCTCGTTTTTCCTAACACAATAAACTTCGTCTCTTGTGTTCCTTTTAATATAATGTAGGTTAATTTCATATAGCTGTTTGGTAATATAAACTGGATGTGTGACAATTAGTTACTGTATTTAAACATAACATGTGATCAAATAATTCTTAATACTATTTTTTTAAATACAACAAATAAATTAATAGGCTTTCAAATTATTTTATTCTTTAAACTGTTCAACTCGCCGTAACGAAGTTAACAACTTAGTGCTTTTATAAAAAAATAAAAAATAAAAAAAATAATTTCGTATATTTAAAATGCACTACTGTATGCTGAATTGATGAATTTGTAAAATATAAATCATGTGACCAATATTCATTTTATTTCTATTAGACCTACAAGTTAATTCGTTCGTTGATAAACTGCCGCGAATATTCTCCTGATAACGCGAAAAACGAGTCTAGCGCCCTCTGTAGTTCAATAATATGTACAAATTGGAACTTGCACTTTTACAATATCGATGGCATTCAATATCACATCATACTATTTACTTCGCCTTATGAAAACCGTATACAATGTAATTTAATGAGGCCCTATGCGTCCATAAAATTAAATACAAGATTAAAACGTGCATAATTTTTAATGCGGCTAATATCAATGGGAAATGTTATGAAATTATATATACTTATTTAATATATGATCAAATAATTATTAAAATAATACTGATTTTTTAATTCAACAATTCAAATAATGGGCTTAAATTATTAAAAGACGGGTGGTCAAAAATATAATTCTTCTTCAGAAATGAAAATGATATCAATAATTAAATAATAGGCCTATGTATTTACTAAGGAATTTGGATAATATATTAACCAGAATAAATTGATACATAAGAACTTGCGTCCATAAAATGTAATTCAGTATAAAAAACGTATATAATTTTAATACGACTAATATCGATGGATAATACACTTGCTTTTCGTTAAATTGTAAATAAAATATTAATATTAAAAATAATTGGCGATGAATGGCTATAAGGAAACTTAGGCCCTACGTAAAGAAATCTTATTAGAGGGGTTTTAACTTATATAGGCCTATTACTTATTTAATTTATGATCAAATAATTATTAATATAATACTATTTCTTTAATTCAACAATTTATTTAATGTTTTTACATAAATTATTAAAAAACAAGTGGTCAACAATTAAATTCTTTTTGAGAAATGAAAATGATATCAATACTGTAATTAAATAATAGGCCTAGTTATTTTAAATTTTAAACTCAAAAAACATTCTTGTGTTAGCTAATAAGTTCGAAAATATTATTCTATATATTAATTACTTTCATTGTATAGGCCTATTTTATACGGTTAAAAGTTTCAATAAAAAAAAGCATCGGTAGTTTACAGACGTACAAAATAATACGTACTTAATATTCTTTGCGTAAACTACTAAATTGGCCATGCGGCCGGGCATGCGGCATTCTGTTTTGGGACTTTCGTACTCAATGATTTATCAACTCTAACTGTTCCTTCTTATATATTAACTGTTGTATTTATTTTACTCGTGCTCTTCTTTGTAGTTAATGAGTAGGCCAATACATCGTTAAAATTATGTGTACCACACTTTGGAAAAACACAGATACCAATTCTAAAACAATTTTACACGCACCATTGTCAAGTATTCTATTGTATTTATACAATGTTAATACAGAGTTCACGCACGAACAATTTACAAGGCATAAGGCCTAACTGTACTGACAAAACATAGGCATGCTAATATCATTTTTTAAACATACTAAACACAAATCATGGCTCAAAAATTATACATTTATGTTTAGACATTTTATCCCTACTCTCTTTTCCAAACCACTTAAAAAGAATATTATTTTGATTTGTTATTCTTATTTTAACTCTTAATAATTATGAAAAAATGGACCAAAATTTGATCGTTAAAAAAAATTAATAAAATGAATTCAAATGAATGCGTGTATTATAAAACACATTTTTAACTGTTTATGATATAATAATTCCTAAATGATATAGGAAAATCATCGTACGATTTAAATTATGAAACTCGTAAAAAAAATATTGGTAGTTGTATGAACTGTATCGTAATTCAGTGTAATGTTTGTTTTCGTAGGACGACTGGACGCCATTAATGCACGCTGTGCAGTCGGGAGCACCAGATGATATGTTGGAGAATATGATTGAAACGGCAACAGTTGAGTGTTTAGAACACCAGGAGGTGAGTGGAATTAAATATCATTGCATTTTAAACATCACAAGCACACAGCATGTGTACACATCATACGACATACAAATAACTCAAAGTCAATTACTGTAATTTATTTCATGTTGGGTTAAAAATGGGATTTTTATTTCATGATTTATTTGACATTTTTTACAACACAGAAAAAGCCTATGCTCTGGTCATTATCACTAATTCATATGAAATATTGTGAAAAAAATACATTTTACACTTACAAAAATAGTCATGTTTGATTTATTCTGTTTAATACAGTTTACTGAATAAATTGGTGACAATAAAATTAATATTTTTCACAAAAAGTATTGTCGCTAAAAATCCCGATTTGGAAATATTTTACTATTGTGTGTAAAACATAGGACAATTGATACAAATATTTTTTTGCGCGATTTCGTCTAAAAAACCACATTTTAAAAATATTAAATAAAGTAATTAGTATTTAATAATGATGAATGTAATAAGTAATGTATATGTGATGTTTGTGAGTTGTTATGTGTTGTTGATATGTGGTGTGTGTATAGTTTCTTGTTGTTGTTTATTATTTCTTTCTCATCATATTCTACGTTTGTCTTGTAGCGTTCTTTTGGTTTCACTATTCTCCATCGTTTGGTGTTCAACGCACGCGTGTCAGCAATGAGACGCGTGTTGGAAAAAACCAACAAGAAGATTAACACGAAAGACATCGTGAGTACAGTAGAAGAAAACAACACTTTATTCATTGCTAACAAATTAGCATTAATTCACTCACAAACACATTCAATACATCACGTTCTAATTTTGTAATATTCTTGGTTATAATACTGAGATGTGATTTTTTATTTACAACTGGTTGAGAAATATTTTCCACTCAGTAGGGGAGACTACCTTGACCATTATTATTTGTTTTATTAATGCAACAAAAATAAACCACAATCCATTACTACATTTTTGTCAATATTATTACCATTAATATTAATACAGTACAGGTGCTGTATTATCCTATAATTATTAATTTCATAATACTTATTACCATCATCATTAATTACCGTAAGGTACCTACTTCATTCTTGCATTTCCGTATTATTGTTTTTTTTAAAATATCATTAACAATATAAAACAATAATTGTTATCAAAATTATTATTATTATCATCAATATTATTATTATGATTATTATAATATTACTGAAGTATCACTATTATTACCGGTAGGCGTTAATAAATTATGGTAGTTATAAATTATTTCAGTTACTTTTACGTTTGCGTAATATTTGTTAATTGATATTCTTGTGTTGTGCGTGTTCAACAAACTTGACGTTGATTATCATTTCATTGCAGTGGGGAAGCACACCACTACACTACTGTCTAGAGAATCGGATGCTGACGCACGAGCAACACAAGGAACTCGCAATTCTCATGATCACCTTTGGCGCATCGGTGACAATAAAGGATAAGGTAATGTACAGAAAAATGAAATGCATCAAAAGAATATCAGTCAATGACCTTAATACAACAACTGTATAGGAAACTACTAGAAACATTTTTACTAATTAAAACCGACGTAATATAATAATAATATAAATTCAAACCAAATTAAATCGAAAACAAAGAAAATCATACGAGTATTAATGTTGATTTTTAGAAAAGTTTTAGAAGTATGAGTTTAATAATGTTTATTATCAATTAATTGGATGGTAATTTACAATATAATTATAATGTCGTGATGATAACATTGTCGAGTGTTCGTTAGATATATTATTTTTATTATCATCTTTGAGTATTTAAGCAAACTATATTACTGTTTTCTGTTTATTTGATTTTTAATTGTCTTGCAATGGAATGAATCATCGCATGCTCGTGTCTGTTATTGCAGTGGGGAAGGACGCCTCTTGATGTGTACGATGAAAACGAATGTAAAAGATACGAAGAAACCACGAGAAGTGAAAAGAAACTACATTTAAAAGAATTACTTGAAAGTACGTTGATTGACTTATTAAATATCTGTGGAATCAAATTTTCAAACTCTATTTAAAACAGTACTTATCATACACCCGTATTACGCTTGACATTTATTTTTTTAATTTGAAATTCTACACAATTAATTTATTATTTCCACATTTTGATTATCGTAAAAAGGTTTATTTCATCGTAAACAATCAAAAATATATTTAAAAAAGAAAATACTAAATATTGTTGATATGTTTGTATATAAATTAGAACTATCAACTCCATCAGAGATTTTAGCCAGGGGTCCCGATGCCGTAAAAGCATTCAAAGATGCACTTCAAAACGGCGAAATAACAGTTGTTAATTCAAGACTGATGTTTCTAGGTCAAGAGGGTTCCGGGAAAACCTCTTGTGTTAAAGCCATGCTGGGAAAGGTGTAAGTACAACAAAATGCCTTGTATTAATTCTATAAAATTGTATTTTTATATTATATGGATCATTATCTTCCTTGCCTTCCTTTTTAATCGGTTTCAATATTTTTACGTGCAGTACAGTCCGTGCGTTTTCTACTGCAATTTAACTTTCAATATTCTTTGCTGTTTGTCGTGCACGCGCTTGTCTGCTGCGCATCCGTTTACTTGTTATTATTATTAGTATTATTATTAAGACTATTATTATTATTATTGTAATTATTATTATCATTATTATATTTATTATTGTTATTTCAATAATAGATTTAATAAAGATGAGCCGTCAACTGATGGTATTGTTAGCACGACTGTTTTCCAAACTTTTGGTGAGGATTACAGCAAATGGGAGGAGCAGGTGGATGTAGACGGTATGATTCTATAAATAGAAAATCTGATGTATACCAGTAGTTAATTTAACAACCTTTAGAACATATAAAAACTTAATAATAAATAGGCCTATTTTAATAATTCAATTTATTACTTTTTGTTCAATAACTTCACAATGTTGTGCCATAATTCTACAGAAATTGAAAGAACTAAACAGATACGTGAACAAGCTATCGCTGCAAATGTCGCAAAGACGTTTACAGAAAGTCCCCCAGCAGACCAATCAATGTCAAAATATGCATTTTTATCTACATCCGAACCTGACCTTACTGCTGCTACGTCCTCAACTGATCGTAGAGGAAAATCATCTCCATCAGCTTTATCTGTATCAGCAATTGATCCCAGAAAAAAGTCTTCTTTATCCCGTTGGTTTATGCGACAATTTAAAGGTAGATTTATTTAAAAGGTTTAGACCTACCTTAGTTGTCTCTGAGGCCTTGAGAATCACATTGTTTAAAAGTTGTAGAGTTCATATAATCGATCTCTAATTATATTGTTTGTGCTACTTTAAATACAGGTCGTCGATTTATACTGTAATTGATATAAATCTGTTAAATTTCATCTCTATTATCATGATAACAGTCATAATCATATTAACAAGAACGACCACAACCGTCATCACAACCACAATACTAAGAGAATGTTTCACACTTACAGTTCATTGTCATGTATTTTTAGGCAAAAGTGTATCTGAGGACACGGGAGTATCCACCAATGGAAGAGGTGTATCTCAGGACACAGGAGTATCGACCAATCAGCTTATGACATATGAAATACGCAAGAAAGTCATTGACAAACTTGCAAACAAGAGTTCTGGGCCGAGTGATGTAACTTGTATATGGGACTATGCCGGTCAACTTGATTATTATATTACTCACCGGGTAAGTGGACATTCTGTAAAAACAATCAGTGCAGTGATTGGTCATAATCATCACACACACAGCACTGAATATCGATTGCACTGTACTGCAAAACAACAGTGAACTGTTTTTCTTTTTTTTTTCATTTTATTCTGTAGTACATTTATATTTATTATGTAATTTTTTCCATGTTCCAAAAATTTGAAATATTTATATGATGAAGATATAATAATAATAATAATAATAATAATAATAATAATAATAATAATAATAATAACAATAATAATAATTGATTTATTTATTCCAACCATCTATATATTGGGGTTGACCCTTCCAGTTAGGCTGATATTCAGGGCCCTTTACATGATAAATCTGAAACAATAAAGATAAAGTCAAAAGTCAAGTTTAATAACAGATACATTCCTCATTAAACAAATTAACCTAGGTTCAGCATATTATACTTTTAAAAATAATAAATCGATTAAAATTTTGGAAATTGGCCCTACTAATTATTATCATTGCATTACATTGAATAGTGAGTACTATTGCACTGAGAACAAAAACAAATGAGTATTAGGCAACTGAAGTCACTGGTGTCCCATATGACAACGTAGCATAGCATCATTAATGATGTGAGCGTTGTCCTGTTTTTCCTATTGGTTTGTGTGTGTTGAAATTTAAGAACAGGCTCCTATAGGCGGCTTTAGAAATTATTAATGAATTAATTCAATGCTTTATTTCAGGCAACATGTCTATTAAAAATAATAGAATTCAGATCAGTGATAATAAAACCACTTAAGCGTCAATTAAGTATGTGACGCCAAACGTGCATTAATAATTATAAAAATAATAATACTTTATCAACATCGTGTGTATATAGCTCACTTTAAGAGACTACAGAATATTAGTATGTGTTCAACTTATACCTTAGTTAGGCTACGTGTATATATCCCTATCCTTAATATGATTTAACAATCCGCTGATCTTTTTCCTTCCAGTTTTTTCTTACAGATAGGTCATCTTATGGAGTTGTATTCAGTTTGCTAGACGCTTTGGATGAATTAGCAAAGCCAAGAGATCCCCAAAAAGTAAATGAATCAGTTAAATATTCCAGTGAATTTATGAAATAGAGTATTTTAAGTATAATTACATTATTTAATAATGAAAAAAAAAAGAAAATATAGGCGCCAATACAAATATCTATCAAAGGCCCTGAGTGGGGAATAACCATCTGAAATAATTTTCGTAAATCTCACTTTATAAATTATGTGATTTTTTTTTTGCATATTTCTAGGGATTTCTTGAGATGACAAATCTTCAATCGATCTTATTTTGGATAAGGTCAATATTTGAACATGCTGTACTGCTACATGGCTCTGAAGCAAAGAATGTGATCAATAGAATGATAGCATCACCGACGATTAGTCTGATTGGGACGCACAAAGATCTACTACAGGGCAGTGATGCTGAGAAACAGGCAAAGGTACGATATATATATATATATATATATGAATAAATTATATTGTGTTCTACATTCTAACTTAACGTTTCCGCATTATTATTTTCTGTCTTATTTTCTGTTATATATATATATATACATATATATATATATATATATA